TGTCTGGTTTGCCCAGTACTCTCCTGGTTTTATGTTTCTTGCCCTAGAGTAATTATTAATAGTTTCCCCTGTCACTATCAAAAGTATTCCCTCAGAAAAGTTGTACCAAATATACAGTTACCAAAAATAAAAACCCAAAACCGAACTCACTACCGTTGAGTCGATTGGACTCATAGTGACCCCTCTTTGGGTTTCTGAGGCAGTATCTCTATGGAAGTAGTTTGCCCAAGTTTCCTTCCAAGGAGTGGCTGGTGAGTTTGAACCACCAACCTTCTAGTTAGCAGTCAAATGCCTTAGGCACTATGCCACCAGAGCTCCCAAAAATAACCACCAAAAAATGATTTATTGTCAATTTCTCTACATTCTATCAAAGCCATTTTTTGTTAATTTTCAAATTGTTAGCAATATAATAAGTAAATATGACTCTTTGTTCTTTAATTTCCAATTATTTGATAACTTCTGAAGATGAACATCTTACATAACATGGACATTAGTATCTGTTCTCTTATAAATTGTCTATTTGAATTTTTGCTCATTTTTCTATTGAAATTTTTTTGGGGGAGGGCTTTAAGGCGTGTGTGTGTTTGCATTTATTCCTTGTCTTCATAGAGTCTGTAAGCATTTATTCCTGGTTGGAAATCAGTTTTCACTTTTGTCTGTTTTTTTAATGCAAAATTTTAAATGTTTAACAGAATTTTTAATCTTTTTTCACTCTGGTTTTTGGTTTCATATAGAAAATTTTGTTACCTCAAAATTATAAAATATTTACTTAAGTTTTGCTTTATTTTTTAATGACCATTAATTGTTTTCATTTTAAATATTTAATCTTTAATAGAATCCTTGCTGTGCTACCTATTAACTGTATGGTTTAGCCAAATTATTTACTTTTCTCTGCCTTATTTTCCTCATCTGCAAAATGGGTATATTAATTTATACCATATATAAGAGGATTATTAAGAAGATTAAAAGAACTAATGTGTGTACATCATTTAGAATGTGCTTAGCATCCAGTAATACCCCAAAGTGTTATCGTTATTGCTGCTGTTAATCCATTTTGCAAATGCCTAACCAGTTTTCCCAGTACCATTTATTGACTAATCCTCCCCTTTCCCATTTTATTTGAAAGATTCCCTTTAGCATAAAATAAATTTTTCTATATGCTTGGGTCTATTTTTGTATTCTCCTTTCCCACTGATTAGTCTTTTCTTGTCCAGTACCAAACAGTTTTAATTACTGTTGCTATGTAATACTCTTGACATATGATAAGGAGAGTCCACTCTCCCTTCTCACTTCTTTCACAATTTTCTTTACTACATTAATTCTTCTAGCTGAATTTAAGAATCTGCTAACTCCTACCCTCAATTTTATTTGGATTAAGTTAAATTAATAGATTTAATTGGGCAAAATGAACATATACCTATTTCTAATTTATCAACTATCTCATTATCTCATTTTACATTTATGACAATAGTAAAAAAATCTGACTATTTTTCCCATTAATGACGTACATCTGGTGGTAACAAACACCGAGGTGTAAGGTAAGAGTAATGCTGGCTGTGATAGTTAAAGCTATGTGCCAATTTGCCTTGGCCATGATTCTCAGTGGTTTGGCAGTTTTGTAATGATGTAATCTGGCAGATATGTAATGATGTAGACATCCTCCATTTTGTGATTTGATGTAGTCATCCTCCATTTTCATGTAACACCAATTTTTGCATAATGAACTGGTCTTTGGAACCTAATCACATCAATAACTGAGGAGAGAGTGTATTGTTATGCTGTTTCTATTCCCTGTTGTTGTTGTTATATGCCATCGAGTTGGATCCGACTCATAGTGACCCCTCCTTGGGTTGTTGAGGCAGTATCACTACAGAAGTATGTTGCCCCATTTTCCTTCCGAGGAGTGGCTGGTGGGTTTGAACTGCCAGCCTTCTGGTTAGCAGTCAAGTGCCTTAGGCACTATGCTACCAGAGCTCCTATTCCCTAGGAGAGTTTAAACAGCATGGGGCAGTTTCTTTTAAAATTTTTATTGTGATTTGGGTGAAAGTTTACAGAGCAAATTCACTTTCCATATAGCAGCTTACATATACTTTGTCTCATGACATTGACTAGTTTACCATAATGCAACAGCTGTCTTCCTACTTCCTCCCCATAGTTACATCTTCCCTGTGTCCTTCCTTCTTATGCACTCCTGCCCCCCAAGCTGTCTCCCTGTGCGTACACAGCCCTTCCATTCTCCCATGATTGATTCCTCCAAGGAGTGTATCTAATATAAATGTTCGGCTCATATGCCTGTCTTTTGTTTGGCTGGAAACCACAAGAGTGGATTCAATTCAAGACTTGAAGGGCAGCTGGGGCCATAGTGTCAGTGGTTCTGCAAGGCTCTATCAGACACTGAATCTGGTCCCTTTTTTTTAAAATGATTTTGAGTTTTGTTCCACATTATTCTCTCATTCTATCCAGGATCTCCTACATAGATACCCCTCCGAGTGGTGGATAGTGGTAGCTGGGCACCATCTAGTTCTTCTGGTCTCATAGTCATGCAGGCTGAAAATTGCATGGTGTACCCATTACTTGGACTAATTTTTTCCATGCTTCTTTGGTTTTCTTTCATCATTGCATCTAGATGGCTGCTTGCAAGCTTTTAAGATCCTAGTCGCTACTTGCCAAAGTAGGTTGTGGAACATTGTTTTTGTGTAGTATGTTATGCCAACTGAGTGTGGGGCAGTTTTGTAGGTTGTCAAAAGCATCCCCTTTTTCTCCTGATTTACCATACAACCTTCAAAACTGCCATCTTTATTTCATAGTTGATTTCATATTTATAAAGATGGGATGTGGAATTTCTCATTTAAAAAGTTCTTAATCCACAGGACACATTTTTTGGTTGTTGTCATTGACTTTGGCCACCACCATCCAAAGGTCTCTTTTAGGTTCTATGACATAGTGAGGAGTTTTGGTTTCCAACCCATTGTCACTATGTGTGTGATCTTGAGAAAGTTACTTAATATCTCTAAATCTATGTCCTTATCTGAAAATGGGACAGGGATAGTATTTACCTCATAGGGTCATTACAAGGGTTAAATTAGATAATCCCATGCAAAGCACTTAAAAAGTGCTCAATGAAGAAAGAGAGAAGGGGTATTCTATGATCCTTGATTCATATCAAGTGCCAAAAGTTAAGGAAACAATAATTTAAGTGAAGGGAAAATGCCTTGGAGGTGTGTGTGTGTGTAAAATAAAACAAAACAACAGTAGCAAACATCTTGAATTTAAAAAAAAATCTTTTTAATATGTTCACCACTCAAATGATTCTCTGGCATTGCTGGCAATTACCATTCTCTCTAGTTTGCTCAGTTACATCAATGTTGCTAAATTTACTTATGTTAGTAATGTGTTTTTGGTGAAAGTTTACACAGTAAATTAGGTTCCCATTTAACAATTTTCTACACAATTTTTTCAGTGGCATTGGTTATAGTTTTCACTGTCAGTCACATTCTCATTGTTTTCCTTCTGGCTATTCCATTCCAGTAATCTAGTTTCCCTGCCCATTTGCCTTCTCATCTTTGCTTTAGAGTAAATTTTGATCATTTGGTCTCATAGAGATGATATTTTAAAGGAGCATAGTACTCATGGGTGATAACCTTTATTTTATGAGTCAGTCTGTTATTTAGCTAAAAGATGACCTCAGAAAATAGTCTTGGTTCAAAGTTTAAAGAGTATCTTGGAGTGATAGTCTCAGGGAGTCCTCTAGTCTCAAGTGGTTCAGTAAGCCTGAACCTTTAAGAATTTGAGGTCTGTTGCACATTTTTCTCTCATTCTATCAAGATCCATGTATTATGGCCCTGATCAGAGCAATTGGTAGTGGTAGCCAAGCATCATCTAATTATCTGGTCTCTATTATTTCCCACAACTCCATGGGTTATCTGGGCAGTTCGTATTGTGTGAGTCAGCTTGGCTGGGGCTGGATAGTTTGGGATGCCCTCACTCATTTGTTTTGAAGTTAGCAGGCTGGTTGATATGTGGAACGGGGTTCAACTGGGAAGATTTGTTTATGCTCCGCATGGTCTCTAATCCTCCAGTAGGCTAGCCTGGGCTTCTTCACTTGGTTATCTTGGCTGCACAGAGCAGCAAGAGATGCACATACCAATGTATGAGCTGTTTCCAAACCTCTGCTTGCATCACATTTACTAATGTTCCATTGGCCAAAGCAAGTCAATGGCTAAGCCTAGTCAATGGGTGGCAATATGGACTCCCCTCCTGATGGAAAGAGCTGCAAAATCACATTGTCAAGGGGAATTTGTAGCTATTTTTACAATGTACCGCAGAGCCTGGCACCATGCTTGGTCCATAGGAGGTAATCAAGAAGTACTTGTTGCAAGAATTTAGAAGTAAAACCTGTTCAAACAATATCAGTGCACCACCTTCCCTATTGGCACATCTACTTTCATGCCTCCTGTCCATTGTTGGGAAACTTGAACTGGGCCAAAACTTCATTCAGTAATCTGGAATGTTTATTGCCCTTGGCTTAAATGTGATAGGTCATAATGGAGCTCTTGGTCCTAGCTATCTTGATGATGGGGCTGTGCACGCATCTTGTTGGGATTTCGCCCCTACTCCAAGGCTTTGTTCTTTGACAGCGAAAGTTTGGTCCACCTTAGCTGGAGGCAGCTTTTTCTGTCACTTGGGAAGCTCCTAGTGGCTTCTTGCATTCTCTCACTCAAAAAGTGAAATTTATCATTTGAATTGCAAAAAGTTGGACAGAATGGAGAGCCTTCCATGGGAGAGCTCTCAATGTAGTGAAATGCTAGAGATGAAAAGAAAAAAAAAAACAAGAAAAAAAATAATTTAAACATTTATACTTAGTAGCTGGTGAGACCCTGTTTGTTTTCACTGTGCCTTGGCCCAGAGAAAAGGTAGAGTAGCAAAATAAAGATAATGCATATAAAAGGTATCTATATCATTAAGAGTCAGGGGCAGGTAGGCAAGGAGCAGTGCTGTTCTCAATGAACAAACGTGGTGGAGTTGGGGAAAGCAAGAGAGTTTTCTGGCTTGATCAGCTCATGGATGGCCTGGTAGGTCCCTGCCACAAAGCCTACAAAGCCCAGGATGCTGATCAAGATGTCCTTGATGATAGTGAGGGGCCGCATGCCCTCTAAGTGGTAGGTGGTAATCTCCAGGAGGGGTGGGATGATGAGGGCCAGAGCGCTGCCACTCACAGAGCCCACCAGAGAGAGGACCAGGTCTAGGCGGGGGATGAGGATGGCCATAGCACCTGCAGGAGATGATAAGAAATAGATCATTCCATGCTGACAAACTTTTAAAGTTTTTTATACAGATATATATTACATACATATATATGTATGTATTTTTAAAATAAATAAATAAATAAATATATATATATATATATATAATAAAATATGTGTTTCTCATACATTCAAATGGTACAATAAAAGTTGAATATCCTCTAATACCCTGATTCATACTCCCTAGCAATGCAACACAAGATGCAACCACTGCCGTGGAGTCAGATCCGACTCATAGTGACCCCTCCTTGGGTTTCCGAGGCAGCATCACTACGGAAATAGATTGCCCAACCTTCCTTCCGAGGAATAGCTGGTGGGTTTGAACTGCCAGCCTTCTGGTAAGCAGTCAAGTGCCTTAGGTACCATGTTACCAGAGCTCCATACTCCCTAGAGGTTACATTAAAAATTTGGTGTGTCTTCTTCCAATCATTTCTCAAATATATCCATTAATATAAACACATACTTACACATATGGCATTAGAAAAACAAATGTAGAATTATAACTTACTGTTATAATACTTGCTTCTTTTTCTTACCATGTTAATATAGAGATCTACTGCTACTTTCCAAAATAGCTACATAATATTCCTTAGTAGGGCTAGATCGTGATTTAGTAACTCAGTCTTTCTCTGATAGACCCTGAAATTGTTATAATTTTTGATGATTACAAACAATGAGCATCATTATGTATTACCACTAAGCACATGAGGGACTCTAGCCATAGATCAATTCCTACAAGTGGAATTGCTGAGTGAGAGTGTATATGCATTCTTAAAGTTGATATAAAAATTAACAAAATGGGCTTTCTTTCTTTCTTTTTTTAAAAGAAGGAAGCAGATCTAGACTATCCTTTTTTAAAAAATCAGAGATCTTTTTCTTATTCATTGATATGCACCCTGCAGTAAACATGAGACTCGTAGTCAATCGATAAATATTTGTTGAACAATATTGCAAGTATTGTAACATTTATGTTAACTATGGGAGCTCTGGAAGCCTCGTGCCTAAGGCACTTCATGGCTAACCAGAAGGCTGGCAGTTCTCTACAAAATGGGGCAGGACAGTATGGAGGGAAAATATTTATGTAGCAATGTACTCCCCTATCCCACACAAAGAGGTAGGGTTTTCTATCATTAAAAATGGAATTCATTTACAATTATTTACTAAATACCTATTTAATAAGGAACATTTAGTAACAGTGTTGGGAACTCTTTATTTTTTGTATTCCCAATTCAAATTAAAAGAAAAATGTTGTTATTGTTGAGAATACACAGCAAAATATACACTAATTCAACAGTTTCTACACGTACAATTCAGTGACATTGATTACATTCTTTGAGTTGTGCAACCATTCTCATCCTCCTTTTCTGAGTTGTTCCTCCCTCATTAAACTAAACTCTCTGTCCCTAAGATTCCTATCTAATCTTTTGAGTTGCTGTTGTCAATTTGATTTCATATAGATAGTTCTTAAAAGAGCGCAATGCTTCAGGCAGACATTCTTTGCTAGTTAAGCTAAACTATTTGGTTTTTAGAAGACGTCAGGGCATATTTTCAGGTTAAGGGTAAAAGATTACCTCAGGGCAATAGTTTCAGGCCTTCAGCTTGCCTCAATGGCTCCATAAAGTCTGGAGTCCCTGAGAATTTGAAATTTTGTTCATTTTCTCACTTTTGATAAGGATTCTTCTATAGAATCTTTGTTGAAAATATTCAGTAATGGTGGCTGGGCACCAACCAGCTTTTCTGGTCTCTTGTAAAGGAGGCATTGATCATGGGCAATTAGCTGCACATTACATCTCTTCCTCATGTTCCTGACTCTCCTTCTTCCTCTTTTGCTCCAAGTGAACAGAGAGCAATTGTGCCTTGGATGGTCATTTGAAAGCCTTTAAGAGCCCAGGCACTACAAAACAAATTAGGGGTAGAACACAAACACTAAAATTGTTATGAGGCCAATTAACTGGGATATCTCATGATCCTAGGCCTCCAAACAAAGGAATCAAATCCCATGAGGTGATTGGTTGCACGTAAGCCTCAGCAGCTTCTCTTTTTGTTGTTACTGATGTAAATATGTCTATCACACAACTTTTGCCAATTCATCTTTTTTTTTCACAGGTGTACAACTTATTGAAAGCACTTTCAATGAGATTTTTAATCACCTTAATCAACAAGATTTTTCTATCACCATAAACCAAAACTCAGTACTCCATAGCAATAGCCCTGTTCCCCTTCCCTCCTACCCCTGGTAACCACTAATAAACTTTGGTCTCTGTACATTTGTCTTTTCTTGTCTTTTTACATAGGTGAGGTCATAAAATATTTGTCTTCTTGTAATTGATTTATTTCACTCTGCATAACTTCTTCAAGCTCCATCCATACTGTAGTATGTGTCAAGACGTTCATCTCTCCTGCTGGCTGAGGAGTATTCAATTGTATGTATGTACTGTATTTTGTTTATCCATTAATCTGTTGATGGGCATTTAGTTTGTTTCCACCTTTTGGCTATTGTGAATAGTGCTACAATGAACATTGGTGTACAAATATCTATTTGATATTTGATAGCTATATCTCAGCTTTCAAGTCTTTTGGGTGTATATCTAGAAGTAGAATCACTGGGTTATATGGTAGTTCTATTTTTAGTTTTTTCAGGAACCACCACACCGTTTTCCACAATGGCTGCAGCATTTTTCATTCCCACCACTCAACACAATGTGACCACTGCCATGGAGTCGGATCCGACTCATAGCGACCCCTCCTTGGGTTTCCAAGGTGTTATCACTATGGGAGTTGCTTGCCCAACCTTCCTTCCATTCATTCCCTCCAGTAATGGCTAAATGTTCCCATTTCCCCACATCCTTGTCAACATTTGTTATTTTCTGTCATATTTTTACTGTTATTTTTTAATCTTAGCCACCCAATGGAAGTGAAATGGTATCTCATTGTGGTTTTGATTTGCATCTCTCTGATGGCTAATGAGAGTTGGCAACTCTTTAAGCTATTTGGAATATATCAATGTATAAGACAGCCAAAAAAGTTTTTTAAAGCCTGCTTTCATTTTAATGAAAAATTTTAATTAATTAAATTTACTTAATTAATTTAATTTAATTTTAATGAATAATTTACATGAGTACAAGAATCACTTACCTGAAAACAACTAGAATGTGAAATTATTCATAGTACAAAGGGATCACCAAGTTGAAACAAAACCACAGGGCCTCTTTAAAAGGGTATCTTCCCCAATGTTTAATCCATGTCAGAAATCACCTTACAAAGAAACACTAAAAGCTAGAGATCTTGAGGCCATTTCCAAGCAGTAATAAAATGAAGATGAAAAAGAGAAGTTAAAATTATATTTTTTTAGTAGGATGCTTTACTGGCCCGGACTATTACAGCTTTTGTTTTAATGGAGGATTTTCCTGGTCACCAGGAAATCCCAGAAGCCTCCACCAGGCCCCCC